AAAGGCTTGTCCCCTTTAGTACCGGTTCGTGGCACGAACCGGTACTATAGGTTAGACCTTTAGTACCGGTTGGTAACACAAACCGGTACTAAAGGGGCTCGTGGGGACCCGGCCTGACGCCAGCCTGCCACTACCCCTTTAGTACCGGTTTGTGGCACGAACCGGTACTAAAGGCTCAACACGAACCGGTACTATTGATCGCAGCCACGAACCGGCACTATTGATCACATTAGTGCCGGTTTTTTTACAAACCGACACTAATGTGCTTCACATTTGACTCTTTTTCTACTAGTGATGATTAGTATAGGATGAGTACTTGTTATTATATATGCTGACATAAGCGAGCATGCATGAGTTATTATATCAGCGGGTAAAATGAACATATATAGCAGCAGCGTTGGTAAACCAAGGACGAAGATATAAGAGAGGACACTTCTCTCTATTAGCTAGCTAATATAACAACCTAAAAATAACCCTCAAAACCCCTAAAGCAGCCACTTTCCAAAAAAAACATGGACTTTTGGTCCCGGTTGGTTCTACCAACCGTGACCAAAGGCCCCCTGACTGGGCTGGGCGCACAGAGCCACGTGGAGGCACATTAGTCCCAATTCTTGTTTGAACCGGGACTAATGGGTGAAGGTATTAGTAACGACCCATTAGTCCCGGTTCATGAACCGGGACTAAAGGCCCTCACGAATCGGGACTATTAGGTGTTTTTCTACTAGTGGCATGAAGGCATCCATCTTGGGGAGGAGGCTGGTGCGGAGCGCGGTGGGGTGCACGAGGCCGAGCATGGCGCCGCGGATGAACCGGTGCAGTGGGCCATGCAAGGCACCGATGTTGTTGGGGCCGAGAATGTCGAGCATGGATTGCGGATAGCCCGGAACCAGGCCGCTGGACTCGCCCTGGAGCAGCATGCGGCGGTTGAGCTCGGGGTCCATGCACACCACCGTGGGGCACCATACGACGTGCGTCCGAAAAACCCTCCCGTATCTGCAGCAGCGCACAGATTAATTCCTCGTAGTACTTTCAAAGAAGACTTATATGATATAGAGTATTATATTCTTTCGTTTCTTAATATTACCTTCGTCCCAAAAAATGTGTCTTATATTTATTTAGATACGAATGAATCTAGCACTAAAACATGTCTAAATACATCCATCCGTATCTAGACAAATGTAAAACTAGCTTTTTGAGACGAAAGAAATAGCAAGCTAAGAAAAAAGTTTGTCTCATCATCGGGATACCTGAAATCCCGGTGAAGAGACATGTCCGTCCGGACATTAGTAGCTACGTACTACTCTGAGAAAGAAAATGCATCATCAATATCAACCATCCGAGAAAGCGGCAAGTTGATGGACGTACCTGAGCCTCCTCTCCTTCATGAAGCTCGGGCCCTGCTTGAGGAACCCGGTGGTCTCGCCGAACAGCGGCCACCCCATTGTTCCCGGCGGCAGGCACCCATTCCCTAGACGCACCGCCGGAACGGGGGCTAGGCGGGAAGACCTTTATTTCATCTTCAGTGAGCCGCCGCCGTCTCGCCTTCCTGAGTAGGACACAAACCCTAACAGGATTGAAAAAAACAACTAAAAACGAAGCCCTCCCGCCGGCCCTTGTCAGGATCCACCGCGCCTCCATGGTCCTAGGGCCATCGGAGACGAGGCGGACCTACGCCGGCGTCGGCGAGATGCACAAACCCTAACTTTCTCGCCGAACAGCGGCCACCCCATTGTCCCCGGCGGCAGGCACCCATTCCCTCTCCTGCCGTACCTTACCTCGTTCCACCAAAGCAGCAAGCTGCTCGCAACAACCACAACGCCGATCAACACCAGGAGGAGCGACATCTTCTCCTCCTTACTGCCTCCACTAATCACCAAAAGAGGGCGTGCAATCCTTAGCGGCCTAATTCTCACCGTTAATTCTCACCATGGTTCAGATTTGTCTATGTTGTAGTGTGAACAGCGACAACGCCTAATTCTCACCGTTAATTCTCTTCATCTGACGACCCATATTCATACAATAAGGTACTCTCTCTAATCACCAAAAGAGGGCGTGCAATCCTTAGCGGCCGTTAATTTGAGAATCGCATGCACAATGGTAATAGTACTCGGCCATTAAGGAATGAATCACACGCGGATTGGTAATTAGCATCCATTTTGTGCAATTAAGAAGAGAATCCCATGCAAATTGTTATCTGCATCTCCATTATTAATTTAATATGAAACGCGTGATTTGGGTTTGACCCAATAAATCAACCCTTCAATTGTGTAAATCTGGCAGTCCACATTTGTCTAATGTTGTATCGTCAACACCAACAACAGCTACAAACCGTTGGATAGTTAGGAGGACATGGATATCCCCAGCTCACCAGGTTCAGCTCATGGCGCTTGCATTTTTCTAAAAAAACACCAACAAAGCCTTAATCCTCTGTATCTGACGACCCATAGTCACACATTGATGTACTCCCTCCAATCGCCAAAAGAGGACGCACCATCCTCAACGCAACCATCAAAGAGAGAAGTGCATGCATATTGTTAGCGGAAAGGATCAATATGATCGACTAGAGGGGGACGATGAGGCGACTAACAAAAAATTAAGTTTTTTTGTTGCAAATTTTAGGTTCAAGAATAAAATAAGTTGTTTAGATATGCAACTAGATGGACAAACGATATAACAAGAACAACAAGCAAGTAAGAGTAAACACATGGTAGTAGCTTTCATCGAAACTAAAGGAGTGAGTTAACCGCTAGTGAAGACGATGAAGACAAAGATGTGCTTCTGAAGTTCCCTCCTTGGGGGGTGGGGGTATGTCTCTGTTGGAGTGGTGCGGACGCAAAATGCTGAAACATCATAGGGCACTAATGGAGGAGAAAGTAAGGCAAGAGATGAGTGGGAGGTTCCAAAAAGTTCTAGAAAAAACTTGCGAAAAACTCCGGAATAAAATATTTGAGCTCATAAACCCTCTAGGATTGGCCATGGGGGCCAGCCCCATGTGGGCCAAAAGAGGCCCAAAGGGGCGCCATCTTAGGACGGAAGGCGGAGGCCAAATAGACATGGGGAGGGGCAATCACTT